TTCACCCACACCACGACTCAAATACATCGATTCTTCCTGGATCCTCCTTATTCCATGTCCAACTTTCCCATGCATAGGAGGCCATGGAGAAGACCCTGGCTTGGGTCAGGAGCACCTTAGCACATAACAATGTCTATAGGGCGGTTGGAGTTCCTGGGCCTATAAATGGTCAGCGGGTTTGGCTGCTAACTGAAAGGTTGGAGGTTCAAGTCTACCCAGGAGTGCCTCAGACGAAAGGTCTGGAGATCTACTTCTGGCAAACCAGCCGTCAAGAACCCAGTGGCGCTGCATCCTGTTCTGACACTCACGAGGTTGCCCCATGAGCTGGAATCTCTTTGACGGCAGTTGGCATCGGCGGCAGGGAGGTTATTAGAAGAATACCAGAGAGACTTCTTTCTTTCAGAGTTGATTTGGCCACACGCCTGCCTGCTGCGGAATTCTCTGGCCTCTGGCTTTGCTACATGCAGCCCAGGGGTGGGAAGCTGTGGAAGTGGCTCCAACTTGGAGGGCGACAGGGTTGGAGTGAGGTTGGGTGGCGGCGGGTCTGGGCACCCCTGTTTGGGTAACTTGCTTTGGCCTTACAAGGTGAACTGCATGCTTTTGTAGTCGGTCAATGTGAGGAGCGGAGCCATGTGCCAGGAAGCAGTGCGTTTCCGGATACTCTGTTCATTGAGACCATCAGTAAAAGGCAAAATCCTGAGTTTTTGCACCCAAACCTCCCTTTTCACTTGATGCTGAGACCACCTCTGCCACATACCATATGGTGGCGCTCTGTGCCGGGTGTTAGTGCTTAGCTACAGAGGTCAGCAGAGAAGGGCCTGCAAAGCAGATGACACGGACACTGATACTGAAGACCGAGATGAGGGGACCCGACGAGCCCACAGACCACTTTGTAGCGCAGGTCTCAGATAAAGAACAATCCGATCAACAGCCTATCTTGTCTATCTTTTGTTGTTGTTAGGTGCCGTGGAGTTGATTCCAATTCATAGAGACCCTGCACACAACGGAAGGAAACACTGCCTGGTCTTGCACCATCCTCGCAATCATTGTTCTGTTTGAGCCCATTGGTGTAGCCGCTCTGCCTGTCTATCATGTTGGGGGCCTTTCTCTTTTTTGCTGATCTACTTACCCAGCATGCTGTCCTTCTCGGGAGCCTGGTCTCTCCTGAGAGCATGTGCAAAGTACACGAGATGAAATCTCACCATCCTTGCTTCCACGGCGCCTTCTGGCGTCCTTCTTCCAAGACACATTTGTTGGTTGCTTTGGCAGTCCGTGGCGCACTCAATGTTCTTCTCCGGCACCATAATCGAAAAGCATCGATTCTTCTTCGGGCTTCTCTATTTGATATCCAGCTTTCCCATGCAGGTGAGGTGACTGAAAATACCATGGCTTGGGTCAGGTGCACCTTCGTTCCCATGGTGACATTTGATTTCTGTGTATCCCATCTGCTGACGTGGTTGGTTCTGTTAACAACTAACACTTACTGAGTGCCCACTACATGTTAATTTGCTGAAGCCTCATAATAATGCTGTGATATAAAAATACGCTTGTCATCCCTGCTTTTCAGGTAGGGAAGCTGCCGTTGGGAGACTGGACTGAGAACAGCCTCAGGACAGGGACAGGTGTCTGCTTTCCCCACAACCTGGCCTCAGGGTCCACAGGGCACCTGCCTTCGACGCATAAGAAGAAATCTCACTCACCGTAGCTGTCTGGGACAGGGAACTGTCCCCGTAGGGTTTCTGAGATGACAAATCTTGCTGAAAGCAGAATGCCACATCTTTCTCCAAAGAAGCCAGTGGGTTTGAACCACTGACCTTTTAGCTAGCAGTCAAGCACTTCCACCACAACACCAGCGGGGCATTCTCACTGAAACCCAGACACCTCCACAGCGTATCCAAGATCAGACAGTGAATAGCCCAGAGCGATTCGAATCAATCCGAGGGTGGCTTGTTAAGTCACAGATAAACAAAAACATGAAACAAAACAAAACGAAAACCTAACCCG